ACTTTTGCTGAAGCAACTGAAATCGAAGCTCCAATGAATGATACAACTAACAGTACAAAAACAGATATAACATGAAGTGTTAAATTGTAAGAACGTTGGATTTCGTCAGCAGTTAAACTACATCCATCGTTGTCTTGTACAGTTGTATTATTGGTGGTATTCATCTAAAATAGTAATCTTATGTTTCGAATGTTTTATAAACGGCAAAAATACTTTTGCCCTCTGACGTCTTATTATTTCTCGTGATCATCAATAGTATACGTTTCGACTGGTCTTATATTCTGCCGTCTTTCGCTCTCTTTTTTTCTCTCTCTCTCTCTATCGTCTATCGATAGGGAGAGGTAGATTCTGATTTACCTGCGTCGAATATTTTGCTTTTTCTTTTTCTTTTATACATCATCGACCACCATTTTCACTCCCTTATATTTTTACTATCTAAACATCGTACATAATGCTTATTATATTCTTCCTTAAACTACACGCGTTGTTTTTAATGCAAACGATATTAACTGAGTCAATATGATGTCGTTTATTCTCTTATATTTTTTTCGATAGATATTTTTCTGATCATGTTTTTTTATTTTTTTTTTCTACAGAATAACAATACATAATAAATAATTGCAGGCATTAATTATAACAAAAGTATATACAAAAGTTTTGTTTTTCTTCTTAAACTAGACGTACAGCAGTATATGTAAATGCTATTTCCGATTTAGCTTCGATAATAAGATCAGAACGTAAGCGTGAGCCAAGTGGGCGTAATTTATTATCATAAAATAAACACGCCATTGATAACTGACATATTGATTTAAACCGAATATTAACTTTTCGTTGTTTATAATTTTGTATTAATACATTTGTTTTCATTAATGATGAATTTGTTGTTTGATTAACTGATAATGTACGATTATAAATTAACATAATATCAGGATCTTGTCCCAATTCAAATTCATATTTCTCTGATTCAGCTAATGTTGGCAGATGCCATTCGCCAGTGAGTACATTTGATGATGAGTCATAGAGGAGAACATGACCCGTTGGTAGAAATGATGAACTATTTGATAATTGATAGAGACGTTGAAATTTATGTTTACCAGATATAATTGATACTGGACTATTTAATGTTGGTAATGGTATAGTTAAAATAAGTGTATAAGTAAACAAAACTTTAATACGAATATTTGGTATAAGAATAGGTAAAGTTATTATAGAATAGGGCTCAATGGCTATTGAATTATTAATAAATGAAAATAAATGAACACCACTATAATCAATACTATTTTTTGATGAACTACTTGAAATGATTAAGGAAGAACTTTTACCATTACCAAATGCAAGATTAATATCACCTGACATTAAATGAGTTTGATTGAAATTATAAGATAATGGACTTGAATTAATAATATCAGCTAAAATTTGAAATTGTGTTTGGCCATTAGCAAATGTTTGTAATGTGTAACGAGCATGCCAACGAAGACTATTAATAACATATGTAACAATTAGAGAATGATTTGATAGTATTGGATAAAAAGAAACTTCATAAATTTGATTGGTTTGAGGTTCATATGAATATTCAATAAGATCAGTTTGAACACGAAAATAAAATCCAGTTTCTACTTCACGTACAATTGAATATTCAGGTTCTTCTTTAATCATTTCACAAGGAGTAGGACTTTTTTGTTCAGAATATTTTCGTACCAAAATTGTTTTACCTAAAAAAAGAATTATCTATAAAAAATTTTAACTTGTAGATATTTACGAACCTGTATTATTGGTATTGATTCGAACGATTCGACGTTCAAATGATAAAGTAATATTACTATTTTCTGATGCTGATCGAAGAATAATACTTTCATGTTTGATATTATCCCAAGTCGCCTGTTGAAATCGAAGAGGCCCATTGTAGATTTGATGAATTTCTGCAAATGAATCATAAAGTCGTAATTTATTTTCAAATGATGTACTATCAACAGTTGACATAACCAATAAACTACCAATCATAATCAGAAACAACATTATTATTAATTTCAAATCTTGTTTTCTTTTATAAAAAGAATGAATGAATGAATGAATAAAATTGCTCTATATTTGATCAATTAGAGAGTGTCGTATTTGAATTATTTGATATCTGCAAACAACTTATATAGGATATTTGATGCTAAAGAATTTTGTTCTATGTTTTCTATCATATTGTATGTGCCAAGAACATCGCGATACAGCTATTCAATCCAATAATGATTACAATGGTATTCATGTTTATTCTAGTAGAAAAATAATATCTCAAGAGTTTGTTTAACATATTCTATGTATTGAAAATGTAATTTGAGAGATCATTATTTCGATATCATAGATGATTTTATTTGTATTTTCTCCTATTCTAAACTAACACGAAATTAAAGACGATAATAAATACAATCAAAATATTCACATCATATAAAATTCATCTATAGTTTAACTACGACAAACAATATACTCATATTTTTAACAAAATATCATTTGATAAAAATTAAAAATGTTCTCAAGAGAAAATAAAACAAAGCTTTACAACCTTTTCCAATTAATGTATTATCAATATAGTACAAACTCAAATACCTGAATTTACAATTACATAAAGTTTCATTAACGCTTTTAGATATACAATCTTTTGTCTTATGAAATATTCGAAATTCTCATTAATATAATGAATGACAATTATTTTCCTATTGTTACTATGGTTCTCCATGTTGTTTTTACGATAGTCTTATCTTGCAAATGTGCAGATAACTGGAAAAGAAAAGATTACTATACATTAATACATATAGCTCGTGCGTATGTTGTTATACGATACATTACTGACAAAACTAATATATTATTTTTCATTTTGTTTTTCTCTTCTTAAGTATCATTTGGGAAACATACATCTTAGTTTAGCTCACATGTATACAAAATCGATTCTATACCCTTGGTGTTTATCTCTTGTATGCCGATATTGACATCATAGGAAAGGACATATAGATTATATACAGTACGTTATTTCTCTTTCATACTAAAACAAGTATTTGGGTCGGGCGTTGAGTGTTATATCGTTATTTACAGCAAAATAGATGTCGAAAATTCTTCTTTTTACTGCAATTTTTTTTTGTAAGTTGTCATAAAAATACAAAAAAAAAATTAATATTAATTTTATAATTATATCTGTAGTAGCTGCAATTGAATTGGGCTTTTGTGGATCAAAAGTTTGTTATCAGTGTGACGAAAAACATCCATCTAGCAAATGGAAATTTTGGGGTGAAAAAATAACAAAATGTAGTAATGTTCCATTCGAAAAATATGCTACAAAAACTTCAAAAGCACTTGGAGCTGCTGTTTTAACATGTTATACGGTAATATTAGAATCTTAATTCGATTATATAGGATACTAAATTCTCATAAATTTAAACCAGTAAAACTATCAGAAGTCTATTCGAATTATTTATCTAATACAATAGATAATAAGTTGATGTGTAAATATAATTCTTTCTTTTTGTATATTCAAAGAAATTTGATCAAGCAGGTAATGTTATTAAACGAAGTGCTTATGGACTTGGTGAAGCATATGACAAAAATTACAAATGTCGAGATCGATATCATATATGTTGTCGAACACCATTATGCAATGAACATATACAAGCACCATGTCCACCAGCACGTACGTATTGATTCGTTTTATTAATCTTTTAACTTAGAAAACAGTATACTTTTTTTGTTTATAGCTAGTCCAACACCGAGAAAAGAAGTCAAAGCATGCTATAAATGTAAAGGTGCAGAAGCTTGTCGACCAGACAAACTTTCAGGAACGGAACTTCGAACATCAGGTATTTTTGGTGCCAAGAATTTATATTGCTATACAGTAAGTAGGCAAAAAAAACTTATATTTAAATTTTTTGTTCTTGCTCTTTTTATATTTAATAGCATTTTGATCCAAAAACAGGTGTTGCTATTGAACGTGGTGCTTTTGGATTTGGTGAAGCTTTTGATAAAAGTGTTAAATGCGATGCTAAACATTATATATGCTGTTATGATAACATGTGTAATACTCATACAGCTGGTCTCTGCCCTAGAAAATATAATGACCATGCATAATCAAAAGAACTTAACTATAAAATACGCGCGTGCTGTGTTTGTGTGAACATATATTATTTTTCATAATCTTTATTTTATTTTAAAGAATAAATTTTAATATTCGTATTAGTTTGATATATGGATCCTTTGAATAATATGTATGATGCTCTTGTTTCCATTAATAATATTTTACAAAAATGTAAACATAAGAATAAAGATATCTGTATGGAATCTACTGCTGCCGAGACGATTAACAATACAAAAGAATTATCATTAGATTCAAAATCTACGGCTATTGTACATCAAACTAATCATAATCAACTACATTATGAATTATTGACACAAGATAATTTTTATCGAGCCCATTTATGCAATAGAAATATTGATGAATTGCCAAGTACAGTATCGTTTTAAATTAATTAAATAGTATACTGTAAATTCTCAGTATATTTAAACAAATGTCTCGAGTTAGATAAACAATTTCTTTGCGATATGATTTTATCGTTGAATATATTTGCGATCTGTAATATTCAGGAAAAAACATAGTAATAAATAATTACGGAATTCGAGAATCAATATTATCTTATAATTTTGCAAAAAACAATTTAGACTAGATACCACTATATTTATTAACTGGGAAAAGAGAGGAAGCCATAAGATTTAAATTAGTATTATCAGGCTGTATTAATGAAAAATATGACATATCGATGTATTTTTCGGTACTAACAAGAAGCATGTTTTTATTGACAAATCATTTTCGAATAAAATTTAGAACAATCAATATTTTAGTTATAATGATTTTATAAAAGCATTCATATTAATATATTTCGAGTTTGTTTTATTATAAAATAATGATAATTATAATTGAGAAAAATATCAAATGAATATTAGTATTGAAATACAAATATCTTTTCTTTAGATATAAGTGTTGATGATATTAAACAATTGAAATCAATTAATGTTTATACAATGCAAGATTTACTTGGTCGTTTTCTTATACATGATACTCCTGAAGATTTTTATATATTTCTCCTCAATACTTTTCGTTTAAATGAAAAGACAGCAACAATTATTACTGATCTATTTCATCAATGGACAAAATATAATTTAGATGCTGTTGTACATAATACTGATATTGATACTATAAAACCAATTCATTAGTCTAATATATCGGTTATTTCACTTTATTTTTCTGGATTTAAAGAAGAAGAAAAAACATTTAGTCATTATTTCAATTCTTCATAAATGAAAAATATAGATTATTAAGTGAAATTTTCATCCATATAGATTTCCTGTCGAGAAAAGCAAAAAGGGAAAAAAAGCAAAGTAGGATAGATAACCAATCACCAAAAAAAAAAAAGATGCTGGGAATATGGATGTGATACATAATTTTATGATGATGATTTTTCTTGTACTGCTGGTGGTGATGATGATAATGGAAGTGTTGTCGATAATTGTGGATAATGGTTGTTAGTTGCTGGATGAGATGTAGATGTTGTTGGTGTTAAAGGTGAATCTGTTTCAGCAAAAAGTGGATTGCGAACTTCCATTTCACCCGTCTACAAAACAAAAACAAGAAAATTGTCCCTTTCGATCTTTTAAGATTGAAATTAATAAGATTTTAACATACTGGAGCTAGACCAGGACATTCATAGACTGTATAATCTCCACCACCAGGTGTTTCATCATCTGAATCATCGGAATGAACAGGTTTGGCATCGAGATGTGCTCTACGAAAAAACATATATTAAAATAAAATAACAAAAAATATAATCACACATACTTTTCTTGGGCCATCATTTGTTGTCGTTGTTGTTGATAATGAAACATTTGAGCACTTTGAGCTAATTTTCGATCAGATATCGTTGCACTTGGCGAGATTTTACTGCCACTAGTACCAGGTCCTGTAACACCATACGATGGATATTCATTTTCAAGTGCTTCAGCTTGTCTTTGAATTCTATCAAAACGAAAAACAACATTAAGCATCTGATACATTGTTTTTTTAATGTTTCTATTACTATATAGATATTGAAAATGAGAAGTGATAAATAATTAATACAATCTATGAATGATATTCTCTCTCTCTCTAAATGTAATATTATAAATAGATATTGCGTATTTAAAAAAACACCTTTGCAATACCGAGAATATTCGATATTTTGTTTTTAGTTTATTTTAAGAACTAATTGATAAGAAAAAGAATGATATATTAATCAAGTTTATTCTAGTTAACTAATAATCTTATAACATTAACAAAAATTGAATTTTTTCATATTACGACATGCTTCTAATCAACCGTACAAAAATGAAATTAAGTCATACTTTTCTTTTCTAGACTTTACACCTGATCTAACTGAGAAAGGAAAAGCAACAGGAATTTCCTTTAATCATAGTATCTTCTATCAACACATAGCTTGAGGAAATAATTATATATGTTATCCTTAATATTGAAAAATCTTGTTTATTTATAGTTTCTTCTAACTAATACTTGGTACTTATTATAATTAGAACTTATGAATTTACTATTTAAAAATTTAGAAGTTTTTTAATAAAAACCAAAACTGATTTGTTTATTATTATAATTAATTACATACCTGTACCAAAAAACAGCTGCAGCGACGAGACCCAAAACACCAACTAAACTGCAACTACCAACAATCACTATTAAATAAAAAAGAAAGAATATGTTTTTTTCTGTACAAAAAAATGATGCATTAATCTATAAAAAGAAATATCGGAGTTTATAAGTGTATAAATATAATTCATATTCTTATTGAAAACAATTTATTCGATAAATTTCGATATAAATATGCAAATGAAATGTTTCTTTTGATTTACATTTATAATGATTATTATTTTTCGTTGTTTATATATAAACTATGATGTCTTGTATAGAAATAATAGTATTACTAAAATCTCATTTAACTATCCAAATAGAGCTTATTCAATATAAGGATAATTATATTAATAAAAAACTTACCAAGAAATAATGTATCGTTACGTTTTTGTCTTTGTGTAGCGTCATCTAAAACATCAGTCGATTGTAAACGTGCTACTACACTATTAGCAGTATCTGCAAGCCATGATGCATCGCCGTTTGTTTCATCATTGCTTAGATTTTCATAATTCGATGACGCCAAATTTCTTTCAGTTTCTATAAAATTAAAATTAAAGTATTTTTAGAATTAAATATTATATTACAAATCATACCTGATGGAAGTTCATTAACATCAATATGTTGTCTAGCTACTGTATCTGTATCCGTTAAATCATCCCAACTGGAAATACCTCCTTCTAAGAAAAATAAAAATAAATATTATCTTGAAAGTTATATTCATCCACACTGGATAAATCAATAGATAAAGTTAATAAAAGAAACACTATAGAGTTGAGATGTTATTATTATCAAAAACTAATCTTCTCATGTTCATGTTTCTAGAACGTGATTAACGCTTATCTTCAATAAATACAAAACTTAACATTTAATAATAAGAATACATAAATTATTACATTCACCTTCATCTTGTTCCTGATACATATATCGTTCCATTGCCGCTAAAGGTATAAATTCATTACTAATTGATTTTTCTTCACGTATTTTTGTTTCGGAGTCTTGTACAGTTGGTGTTGATTTTAATTCATGATGTGACGGATGTATTTTTGGTAAAGGAAGGTAAAATATGCGCGCAGCATCAGTTATTGTTATGATAACAAGGATTAAAATAGTAACATTGTTACTAATAAATTTTTTCATCATTCACTTTTTATTTTATATGTATTTATATATATGTATATGAAGAAAATTTTATGGTAATATTACAATTATCTTTACTGATGATGTTATATGCGTGTATGTCGATTCACACGTACGTAGAACGTTTGATCGACATTGTCAGCATGTGAATGTGTGCCGATAATGATAGAGTTCTTGTTTTTGTTCGAATTCTATTCTATACAGAAGATTTTCTTTTTTCTCGCCGTTTTTTTTCCTCTTTCTTCGCTTTTTTTCTCAAGCGACAGTGATGACGTTCATAGAATAAGCTATGCTTGTATTTCTATTGAATATATAAAATAGAAAACAAGAAAGGATATGGAAGATACCATCAGAGACAAAAAAGAAAACGCTCGTTCGATTCTTCAACTTACTATCTTATATTCAATGAGAATGACACTCAACATGCAGTGATGACGTTAGTAATAATCGATGAAATGAGATTATCGTCCGATTGTTGATGACATCATCGGATAACGAGGAAAAGAAATGAGTTCAATTTCATGTACTCATAAATGAGTATTTCTTTCTTAATTTGAACTCGTTGGTTTTTATATAATACTTTCTTACTATTTTAATACAAAGTTTTTCTTAAATGTAAATTATGTATTATAGTGTCGAAAGAGAATTATAATAGTGTTTTATATCTTTTCTTTTGACCTCTATACGACAACAACTGAAACATATGTCAATCAATAGATTAATTTTTAATTGTAAAGAGTACCATTTTCTTGTCATTCTGTTTTATTTATTACTTCTCAACACCCACTATTTGATCTTATCAAAAAAAAGCATGTTTGTAAGTCAGTTTGAGGGTGTTTTTATTTTCTTCATACTTTCGATTACCTTTTCTCTATCGACAAAATTACTATCATTAGTGAATGTATAAATAAAAAACGACAAAGTTTAGTATTCGATCAATGTCTACTTCGATTTTCAGTAACAAATCGTTTGATCTCTAAAGTGATGTTAATATTAATAATTGATAAACGAATATATTTTTGTATCATTGTATGAGACACCTGAAATTTAAGCGTAGGCGAAAAAAAAGATGTCATTGTAATTGTCAACGTACTGACACGTTGGCGATATTATATTTTCGAGATAAATACAAAAACAAAACGATACACGTACCTTTTTGAAAACGAAGAGCCAAGCATGTATTGTGTTTGTTTAGAAGAAGAAGATGACTACTGAATAGTAGAAAAAATACGAATGGTGAAAAAACACGTGCTGAGACCGAGTGTATCATTGCCACTATTGTATAGAACTTAGCTTGATACAGATTATTCCATTACTTGCGTAGACAAAAATAAAAATAAACGGGGAATGGTGCTTATATATTGCCCAATCAGTAAAATATTGAAATATATCAATGTGGTAGAAGAAAAAGGAATGAAAAGTATAACATAATCTGAAACATATTAATGATCACTTGGCAAAGCTCCAAAATGAAGAAAAAAAACAAATCAATAGAAGAATCAAACGGACGAAAGCAACAGCTGTCGGACTAAGTTGACTTTTCTTTTTTTAGATGTAACAGCTTTCAAAATGCAATCATACATAGACATATGCATCGATAATTCTCATAAAAAACTAATGTTTCTTTCGAAAAACTATCTTAATAGCTTTAAGTTACTTGCTTATATGAAACAGAACGAGTATTGCTTTCTTCAGTTATTTATCATTTGCATGAAAAAACACAAGGTAGCATGCGCATATGCGTGGGTTATGTATATGTGTTAATCATATAATTGTACAATGACGCGAAACGAATGGTATACGAAACATACAATCCGGTATTCGATCAATAACCACTATTGACATGAAAGAGGTCACTAATAGTCAGATTATTTCATCGCTCTGTATTCTCAATAATAATTCTATTTTGACTTGAAAATTATGCTCTTATAATTACAGTCATTACTTTTCTGACAGTCTTAATATTGTTAATATTTGTCAGTTTTATTATTTATAATTTACCGTTTCATTCGATCTCATACATTAGTAAAAATATTTATATTTATGCATTTCTAAGGTTTTTTTTATTGCCAAAATTATTCTGTTTGATCGATGTTGGAAAAAAAATTATGATTTATTTACTTATACCGAATAATATATAAGGAAATTTCTTCTTGCCATTTATTCCATAAATTAAAATATACCAACTAAATTTTGTAGATGTTACTTTAATTATTTATCAGTAATAGATTTTTATTTATATATAAGAATATATCTATGACTTTCATCATAAAATTTATTTCATTTTCTTTTAAACTATCAACTTTTGTAAATCAAATTTCTTCACATAAGTTTTTTCGCTTGAAAACCAGCTGATTGAACAGCTTGAATTACAGCATCTGTATCTAAAGTATTACGTGAAGTTAGCTTAGCTCGGCCAGTTTCAAGATTAACATTTACACTAAGAACTCCATTAAGTTTTCGTAATGCCTGAATAACAGCTGAACGACAACCTTCACAATGCATTCCTAATATTTCCCAATAAGTAATAATCAAGTCATGATCTATTGTATTATTTCTTGAAAATTGATTATTATAAATTCGAAGAAGTTCAGGTGAAAATGAAAGTAATAATGTAATACTAATAATAATTGTAAATTGCCATTTTGATGGCCGATAACGAAAAAATGAATAACTTAATGAAATAATAGTTAATGAAATAAATAATGGTCGATAAGGTAATAGAAGAGTATTCAATCCAGCACATCCAATACCAAATAAATTCAAAAATAATTGAATAACACAACAAGATGATATTAAAAGACCACCAACAAGACCATTTATCCAACTGATACGAGTCATTATTTGTCTGCAATGAAGATTTTATATTTATTAAAATAAACAACAACAATCAAAATAAATTTTTCTAATCTATGTTAATTTGAAAAAGAAAAAAAAACAAATAAAATAACATATATTATCTTAAATAATGTCTTTTGGTTTTGCTGTTCTCGCAAATTGAACAACAATTGGTTTTTCATGTAAGATAAAACCATTCGTATCATTTAATGCATTTAAAGCCATTACTTCATTAGGAAATGTTACAAATGCTTGACCTTTCATTTTACCTTCACGCATAAGATGTATATCAATTTCAAAAGAATTTTGTCTATAACGATCATATAGAGAGTGTAAGATACGTTCGTTAACATTTTTTATATCAATATTTTTTATATAGAGACGTTGAGAAGGTTGACCACGTGCATAATTTCGATATAAACGACCATTATCAAACAGACGTAATTGATCTTCGCTTAAACGATTTCTAACTAATTCTTCAAGTGGAATGAGAGGAAGTGGTGACGGTTGTTGTTGTTGTTCTTCTTCTTGTATGATAGAATTATTAATTGGTTGAGTTGGTTCTAGTCGACCGAAATTATACACAGTCTTATCTGTTAATGTTGCATGACTATCCTCTTTCTAAATAATAATTTAAATGATTTATTAAAATTTCTTGTTTTGATATAACATACACGAGAACGATCGAGTGTTTGAGGTAATATAAGTTTGATTGTTGATTTTTTCTTAGTTTCAACATCCATTGTGACATTCATTTGTGTTGCTGATACTGTTGTTTGATGAATTGCTGCTCGTAAAATTGATCGACGATGTTGTTTTACTCGTTCTTCTTCTTCACCATCATCTATTTCACTTTCATCATCATCTGTATCCATATTAACTACTTCAGAAGATTCATTTGTTTGACATGCTACAGTATTCGTTGATAAAGTCCGATGATTATTATTTGAATCTACCCATATAGAAAATGATCATCAATAAATAAATAACAATAAAGTCAGTTTTTTTTACCAACAATCATAGGACATGGAAGTGACATTTTATTCATAAGATGAAGAACTTGAGTATAAAAAGCAGGTATCGACAATAGAGCATTATTAATATTTTTTAATATTGTTTCATCAATAGGTGGATAAGTATATGACAGTCTATCTGATGGTAATGAATATCGAAGTTGATTTTTACCTGGTGAAATGCCATGTAATAAACTATCGTCAATATCAATATTTAAAGGTGACGAAGTAGAAAATGCTAAATAAGCTAATTCTAATAAACAATATTCTACAACTAATCGACGACCGAGTATTTCAAGTTGATGTAAACGTGAAAGAGCTTGAGATGCTTGTGTATGTACCCCGAAATCAGCAATAATAATATTGGACATACTTTTTAATCGAGTTAAACAATGTACACGAACAGCACCAAAATGTTCTAAAAATTCTTTTCGATCATTATCATTGAATAACAATGGAAAGTTTTTGATTGTTAAAATATTTGATGAATAACCAGAAAATGTACCCATCTAAACAGACAATCAATTCTATATTGTTTTTGAAGTTTAACTTCATATATTTTTTAATATCATCATCGTATCTGTTTTGATAAAATATAATAGAAAATAAAATGACTTACCTTATGTATGTTTTGAATGCATTCGATTTGATATTTTCTAATATTATATTTATATGAATAATTTCACTTTTATTCAAGATTGACACTTGAGAAAAAGGACTATGGAAGTGTTGGTCTATGATGAAATAGTTTATTTTCTATTAAAATGAGAATCTAAAATAATATTATGAAGAAATAAAAAGCATCAATTCACGGTTTTAAGTACACTTAGTTGATCATAATTACTATGAAATTAAATTGTAGTCTCAGGGAACTAGCTCAAATAATGTCTGATGTCCTTGAGTACTATTTGAAGGACACATAACATGAGTAATTCATGTTAAATTCAACATCTCTATCATTGACAGAATAGAGTATTTTATTAGAATACTAACGAGAATTTTGACATTGACAGTACATATAAAAAAAAATCCAAATTTTTAAAAGACAAAATATGGATGGTAACTATTAGAATAGTATAGATGATTTGATTGGAAGGAATAAAAATGAATAAAAACAAATTATATTCAAGAATCAGTAAAGAGTTCGCACAAAGTTAACTACGATTTATTTTCAAGTAACTTTGTGATTATGTCATATTTTTAAGATTAACTTCTGTTTAATCGATCCGACAAAAAAAACATTAACAATAGAAGATCTATTTATTTGCATAATAAATAGAGATGGCAAAAAATTCTTTCAATGAAGAATTATATTTTGAGTTGAAATATTTAAAATTATGCGGTTTTTTTTGAAAAATTCTTACGCATCAGATTATTTAAAAGTTAATCGAACGGAAACTAAATCATTTCTACTTGATTACAAAACAAAATTTCGCTTCATTTCACTATCAGTGTAAGCTTTCACGTATTACAAAATTCCACCAGACATTTATATGATGAAATTTATTTGAGTGAATAGTCTTCCTCAATTTTACTAATAGTAATTATTATCAAATTTTAACATGCGTACTTTTCGTTGATACCTCAAACTAAAACGTAAGAGACTTTTTTTTGTCTCTCAGTATTATGAACGAGATAACATGCAATTAGACGCTTGATTTGATCAAAGTTTTGTCTGTCTTTAGGTAAATTAATTTGAAAGGAAATACCGCAGAGAAAAACATGAAATATATGATTAAAAATAACAGGATATTAGTTACACTTCAGACTGACTGTTAGGACGTAGCGAAAATAATGATTCTAGAACGATGTTAAAAATTAATGAAAAGATAAGAAAAATGTTTTTCTGTGGCTTATTTTAGAATTATATGATTGTTCAGTTTAATAATAGTCATTGGTAAAATACTAAGAGTATTTATCTCAATTAAGTCAATGCTAGAAGTATATTTACTTTCATCCACAATCAATTGAAGATTAATAATTAAATAAAATCGAATTTATTTTGTTAACACATATTGAATAATCCACAAACAAAGTCTATCTCATTATGATAAATAAAACAATCATACAGATCAAAGATGTACTTTCATCAAACATAAAAATTGTTTATAATGTCATAGATAGAATTTGATTGTAATTACCATCAAGTTAGGAATATAAAAAACCATTGTATACAGTGATATATCATACTCGTTAATTAGTAAATACAAATTCTTTCATCATCTTTAGATATGTTTGTGTTAATAGCTACTTATAGTGTATATGTTCGATACAATCTTGAAAATATTCAAGTACATATATACTTAATGTAATACTATTGTTTGTTTATAATCGACCCTTGTTTAACGATAAAAGATATATTTTTATTTAATTTTAAAAATTATCTGTAACACTCAAATATAATGTTGAGTTATTACAATTTTCAATAGATTTCTCATATTCGTTTCATTCATTAATAATAAGAAACAAAGAAATCATGAATTTTTCTTTCTCTTATTCTTGTAACATTGTACGTGAGACTGAATGCTTGTCCTTCGTTTCGTTTTCTTTTTCTTCTATTCCAATTGTGACAATGAATTCATTGTACATTGACCCTTCACTATGATAACGACAAATCGTGTTCTTTTCATTTTTCTTCTCCCTACAGCTATTATATGTATATATAGTCATATTATTTCAATCTATTGTCAAAAATACATTCACATTAATGGGTCAACTATTCAATCGAATATCATCAGGACGGTACGATCAACAAACTTCATCAATAATTATAGAAAATAAGTATGAATTTAATAATAAAAAATATATATATTTATTTTTATTTTCTCAAGTTTTAGTACTACTATCAAACCGATTCTACCTAAACGAAAATGTATTGAACACGACAAATTTTCAAAGAGAAGAAAAATTTATACAAATAATGATGATTTATCATTTTCTAATCGATCAAGTATTCATCATTCTTTCTCTTCAATGGTATTTTTGTTTTTTTTAATTATAGAAACTCAATTAAAATATATTCTATTTAGATCATATTCAAATGTCAGTTATGTTATCAATGTTTTTCAAGTAAAGATTCATATCTTGAACATATGATTATTTGTGCTATCGAACATCACGCATCAATTAGAATAGTACGTGCAAAACAAACATAATTTTTACTTCTATATGAATATAGTTGTTTTGTTTTTTAAATTTCTATGTTATATTATTCGTTTTTAACAATATTTTTCTTTTTCTATTAAAAAATATACAAAGTCTTATACAGAAAAAAAAGTTTTCTATTTATTTACATCGAAAAGATTTTTTGTATGACCATATTTTATAAATTGAACAGCTTCTTGCCAAAGTTTTAATGATTGATTTTCTTTAAAAAAATTAAAATGACCACCTTTAGGTAAATGTTTCGTTTGTATATTTGATGATTGATTAAATTGTTTAGTAAATATATCAAATGCTTGACGTGTATAAAATTCATCATCGGCAAAATTTATAGCTAAAATGGGACATTTGACCGAATTAAATCCATCCGTTAACATTTGTCCATGTTTATCAACAAAGCATTGACGATATAATGACCATCGAGCCCATTCTCGAATAATATTAGTTGGCATATCAACACCTGTTCGAAAAACAGTACGTATTGGATAATATCCATAAAGCCAATGAAGTGGTTCACGAATAACATAAAGTAAAAAACATGTTTTAGGAAAAGATAAATTCCATTTGTGATACATTAAATAAGAATTTGCTGAGGAAATAAGAAGGATTCGAGAAATTTTTTCGTTTATAAAAGGTGGTAAAAGAGCATGCATATTTCCACCAAGACTATGACCAATATGAACGACTTGTTTATATTTTTCAAAGCAATATGATATAACTCCTGCACAATCACGTCGAGCCCAATGTTCAACAAGTGTCCATTCGGTTGGTTTACGTACATGTGTTCCACGATAATCATATGTTATTACATGTAGATTATGTTGTTCACTTAAATATTTTGCAAATGGAAAATAAAATTGACGACGATTACCTGTTGCTTCTGAGATAACAACATATATTGAATTTGAAGAAGATGATGATGATGGTGGTGGTTCAAATATTGTAGCTTCTATTGGATAAGAATCAATTAAAGATGGTATAGTTATATTCGAAGAATTTCGTATAGAACGAATTGTAAAAATAGATCTTTGAACGACGCCTAAGTAATTCATTCAAGATAATTGTTAGTATTTTCAATAAAATGGAAAGAATTTTGTTTTTATAATATATTTTTCGATGAACATTATATAATTAAAGTACAACGAATTCTTTTTTTTTCTCTTTCTGCTTTGTATTCAATTCGTTAAATGCACTACCCAATGGATATCAAAAATGATAGAAGGATATACAATACAGTCTCTAATGCTCAGTTATAAAATACTTACTGAGTAGAATTCAAAAACTAGTAAGCTCATATATTATTTTTCATTATTAGTTATTGTTTACATACATGAAAATTTCTTCCACAAAATTCGATAATAATTCTTGTAGCTACCTATTTTGTATTATTATCATCTATTGATCGATGTA